TATGTGAAGTTAGTTAAAGAAATGCAACGAGAAAAAATAATATAATGTTTAAGGGCAAAAGAGAAGAAGGAAAGTAGAAAAGAATACTCTAGTATTTGAAAGGGATTATATTCTTCAACTGCATACTGAGTATAGCTCATCATCTTTTCTATATAATTAACGTCATTTGCATGCTTTTATTGTATTTTTAGACATATTTATAGAAGATCTCGTGTTGAATATTATCTTCTCGTCTAGGTCAAAACAGGAAACATTGACGAAATTTATACTTGTGCTGCTGACGTTCAAATAAGAACACAATTATTCGATCATGTTTTCTAATAGAAGCACATCATTAGTACCGCCGAACACCATTGACAACCAATACCTATATCCTGCATATAGTTATGACCAATTACTTGCTCCTCCTCCTTCATCATATTATGCACATTGCAAATCAGAACCTAATGTTGCCTTTTATTTCAACAATCAAGTACGTATTAATATTAAACAGACGTTCATTTATATTTTATATATATGTGCATATATAACTTTTAATGTCTGGAAACTAGAGTTTCTATATAAAAAAGAAAGTCAAACAAAAAAATTAAGTAAATCTTTATACATCCGTAGAAACATAACAGTATGTTTGTTAGTTAATTTCTTTTTTAGATTATTAAAAGAGTAATCGTCTTGAATTTTTCTTTCTATCTAATAAAAAAGATATATATATACATATTTTAAGTTAATAGACATATTTTTGTCAATATCGATTAGTTAAAATATAAGATAAAAACTAATTTTTGTGACATTCTTTCGACTAAATCCACTTAATCGCATCGGAAATTAAAATACAAACTCATACAAAAGAAACATGTTGAACAAAGAAAGAAAGAAAGAATAGAAAAGATTCATCTAGACAATCTCGAACAACTTATACAAACATTTATTTCTATGAATGAATTACATTTTTCTATTAGTCATAGGTCGTTATTAATAAAATATAAGACATGATAAAACAAGATTTTCTATTTCTTTAGTCTATATGAATAAAAAGACAGAAAATTTAATGAATCTGATATTGTCATGTTGATAACTTGATTTAACGCATATGAATATGAATATACTCAATCATTTTAAACGTGCATATTTTATATATATATTACATTAGCATCGATGACATCTTCGTTTTCTTTTTTTATTGAATAAAATCCTCGTTAGACATTTCTCGCTTTATCACAATTATACTTTCTCATATGCATTTTTTTTCTTATTGATAATGAAAAGAAGAGATCGAAAAAGATCAGAAATATATATATATTTCAAGTATCTTTGTTCATCGTATCATGTAACTGTTTTCTTTTTATTAGAGCCTAGTAGTAATGTCATAGTCTCTTGATTATACTTTATATATAAAGAAAAAACCTAAAATGATTGATTGGAAAAAAATTTATTGTCAAACAACAACATATTTGTCTATTCTGAATGCGATACAATATGCGCTTTATCACGGTACATTTGCATAACCATTCAACACATAGAATCGAGTGCAATCATTGCTATATATTTTTAATTAAAACAAGAAATGGACTAGAATAAAAATGTTAATACCATGAACATATGCCTCGCATATAATAGAGCTATTGCTGTTGCACCAGATCGCTAATCTACATAGATGACGATACCACAACGTGTATATAATTATGTATATGAATCAACTAGGGAGAGAAACCAATCTATCTTTATAAATTTTACTATTGTGACTATTATTACTTGCTTTACTGTAGATCAAAATAAAAAAAAGAAAGAAACAGCTTCGTCTATTTGGCTCAATAAAACTGTAAGTTGCGAACTATATATATATATATGCGCATGTATGACAGTTTTCTATGCTGTCAAGAATGATGTCTTTTTTATTCTTTTGTTAACTATCGAACGTCTACTTATAACAACATGAAAACAAAATCTATGAGTGACATATACTTATGCCCGAATGGTAACATGTTTCACTTATAGTTAACTGCGCTTTTTTTTGAGCACTAGTCTCTTAAGTTTTAGGAGAAAAAGATAAAAGCAATTGAGAATACTTTAAATATTACAACAAATGTTAAGAGTGAAGTAGTTCATATGTTCATATATATATATATATATTCTTATTTGAATTTATGACGGAAACAGGAACATAGACGTCACACGAGATCAAAATGTGTCCGCCTCCATAAAATTGTCACTTATGTGCGCGCTCAACACTGTTACACTAACTACTATCATTTAAAGGAAAATGTTGTGAAATATAACAGAGAAAGAATTATCTATTCAAGAATGCGAGAAAAAAAAAGAAGAATAAAGAAAAAAATGATTAGGGCTATATATTCTTATTCTTTTCTTCTCCCACGTAAACTTTTCTTGCTTTTCTATCAGTTAATACAACATACAGCGGTCATGCTAGAATTCCACTCAATGGAGAAAAAAAGAATTTGCCAATATAAAAAAGAAAACAGGATATTATAATTGAACTCTTCTCTTTTAACTTCATTAGCTACGTCTTTTTTCTTTATTCATTCTGTAAGTAATACGCGGATCTATTTGAATAACAAGCGTTTACTATAATTATTTTAACAATAATTAAAACTTACAAAAAAAAGAAAATGGATAGACGACGATTATCTGTTTTTGCCAATTTTGTCGGCTATTCAGATCGTATGGGAGATGCTAATCAAATCAATGTAAGTACAGGATCAATAGAATGTCATAATTGTATATTGATAAAAAATAGTTTATTATAAAATATTAAAATCTTTATAGAAAAGAAATAGATTAGAACATTCATCTAGGAAACTTAAGATTTCATATGATTATTTCTATAGTTATCCGGAATGTTCGTGACTGATAACCGATGAGAATTATTTTAGATGAATAAATAGAAATAATTAAGATTATAAAAAAAGATAAAAGTTCTTTTTTTTTCTATTAAAACAGAATATTAATAACTTTAATGAGAACAAAAAATGTCCGTGACAATCTCTGCTATCTTTACAGTATAGTTAATATGTATTCAAAAGAATTCTTATGCATTTTTTATCGTTAACTGCATCTATATTTAATACTATTAATTCTATCTTCGAGTCTCATTAGAAGAAAAATTTTATAATGATGAGAAGATCAAAGAGGAAAAACAAAAATGTAGGAAATAGGAAGGATATATATTCATTAGTTTTTTAGTAGAACATACATTTGCATGTTAAAACAACGTAAGAGATCAGTCGATTATGTCATTACTTTGAAGACTAGTACAAGTGCTAGAATTTTAGTTTTTTTTTGATCTAATCGGTAAAATATACAGTGTCAACTTGATCTTAAAAATATATGAGCGATTAACATAAAAAACTGTTATTTTTCCCTTAGGAGTTTTTAAACCCTTGTAGATAATATGATATTTATAAAAATGTCTATAGATATGCATATTATGTGGAATTATTAATTTTTGTTTTTTGTACTTGAAAAAAATGTCATATAAATTTGAATTTTTAAATTATTTAGAGTGAACAACGACGTCTCTCAGACGGTCCATTTCCTCCGTCGCTTCGCCGTCCATTTCCCTATCAATATTATCATTACCCAGGTGAATTTGTTGGTAGTGATACGTGCATGTTAAAAAGAAAAAATTCGTCATTAAATATGCTTTTGGATTCGACAAGTTCAATGATGCGTACAGCATCATCAACATTTCAATGTCTTATTGGATCAGCTCGTCGAGCATCATATTGTGGTCAACCAGATCCAAGTGTACAACTTGCACCAAATGGTACTAGTGGTTCACTTTATTTACGTTCTGGAACAGCTAATTCAAATGAATCGTCATTGTCAAATGCATCATTTGATGATCAACGACGTGTAGTAACTATTTATGATGGTCGAATTCCATCAACACCTACAGCACCTACAATACCATTTGAACTTCTAACACCTATTGAAGCTATTACTAGAGCAGTCGATGATCCAGTTGAATCTTTTGTTCAAATTGTACTTGAAACACCAGATGATAAACCACCAATGATGCCACCTATATCAAGTTCATTAGCACGTATGAATTTATCATCTCGACGTCGTCATCGAAGTAGTTCTCCGAATTTAAAACCAACTAATCAACGAACAACACTTTCTTCAGAAACTAATGCTCTACCAAAATTAACTCAACATCAATCGATGCCAACAAGAGAATTCTCAAATTCAACTACAAGACAATGTCAAATACCAGATGTTATTGAACCAATGGATTTTTCTTTTCTTGAACCGGTGCTACGAGGTGAAAGTGCTGCTCCTCCTTTACAATCAAAGTCTTTTCAGAATAGTTCAACTCTTAAAGATTCATCTATTCATCCACGTACATCATCATATCCTCCCATTCCATTAAATCATATAATTACAAATGAACATGATTTAACATCATCGGAATCAATCTCAAGTGGTGATGAATACAATTATTATGTTCCACCTTATCCACGTTTAAAATTTACACCATCAATCGATTAAAACTAAAATTTCTTTTTCTTTTTTTCAATTTTGTTATAATCAATTTTGTTTTCTTTTAACAAATAAATTAGTTCAGATCTATTGACATAACAAGTTTTAGTCATTGCAATTAAAAAACAACACGATTGTAGATCATCATCTGATTATATTTTACCACGTAGGAGTCCGTTAATTAACTTATTATTTATTTAAATTTTTTCAAAAATTTCTAATAATAGAAAGAAAAAAGACAAAGGTATATACAACAAAAAACAACCAGTATATGTGACTTTTCATCAATAACAATTTTAACGCTTGTACACGAGAAAAACAACAAATACTACAAGACATAAATTATTATTAAACATGCATCTATGAGACAAAAAACAAACGCACTCATAGCATATAGTTAATCTACTGAAAAAGATTTACAAAATGACTCCAAACAAAAACAACATTGTTTTTTTTTCAAATAAATACAAATAAGGTAACAAGAGAGAAGACTAAAATTACATATTGTCAATCAGATCATCAAGATCATCCCAACTTATTTGACTTGGTGTATCACCAATCGAACTAGTACCATCATCAATCATTGCCAATTGTTCTAAAGCATCTAATATAGCACTACTTTGTGTCTGACTTTCATTTACATTGGAAATTTCAGTTGTAGTTCTTGCTTGTCTAACAGTAGATATTTCTATAATTTCTTCATTGACTTCTTCTGTAACAGTTTGAGTCATTGTCATTGATTCTTGTTGTTGACTTGTTGCTATTGCAGTTATTTGTTTATCTTTACGAATATTAGCTGCTGCTGTTGCTGCTATTGATTTCGTTTTTACATCAATAATAGGATCATCTTCAAAATCTGATCTTAACCATTCAGTCATATCTTTAAATAAATGTACACCACCTTCTTTTGAATTTATTGATTGTATTGGTATATCATATGGATCATTTAAATCATGATCATCAATAATTTCTTCTTTATTATTTTTATCATAATCCAATGCATATTGTTGATGAATTTGATAATGATTACGTAAACGTACAGCTATTGGAATATATTGTTTACAGATTGAACATATACGTGATGATAATTCAGTTTGTATTGATGGACAACAAGCATCAAATGGTAACAAATCATTTTTTGTACGATTAATAACAATACCATGAAATTGTATACGTTGAAAAAGAT